GAATTTCTATGATATAATTCTTTAACAATTTTCTCTTTTGCTTCTATGGAATTGGACTCTTCAGATTTTCTATCCAATTCTGAATCAGTTTTATTAAATTATATTTTCCTAGAATGCAATGCATTCCATCCAGGCTTTTTAATCTATTTGACCAGTGCTCTGGAAAAGTAGTTTATGCTTATTATTCCTCTATTTCTATTATTTCCCCCCTTTTCTCATTTCTTATTTGTTCTTTCCGCTTTTTCTCTGAATTAGGATAGCTAGAAATTGATATATTTTATTAATTTTTGAAAGAACAAGCCATTGAATGTATTTACTAACTGTACTATTTTTTTGTTTTCAATATTTTCTGGTTTCAACTTTATTCATTCCTTCCCTATTTTTCTTTAATTTTACTATGTGTCTCTTTCTGACCTATTGAGTGAATTGCTTAATTCATTTATATTCATTGCTTATTTATTAATATAGTATTTATGATTATTTTTCTGCTTTAGCTATACACATGTCCCATAAATTGTATGATGTTGCATGTTCTTAGCCTTTTTCTAGATATTCTGCAATTGTATATTTTTCTTTAAGTAGCTTAAAAGAGAATGTTTAACATCAAGGTATTAGAGGATTTTTATTTTCTGATTATGTAATTTAGTTTTATTGCATAGTGATCAAAGAACACTCTCTGTACTATTTCTAATATATCAAATTTATTGAGGTTTGCTTTTGTTACCTAGCATCCATTTTATTTATGTGACTGTTTCTTGACTTTCAATAAAAAGGAAAAAAGGTGTATTTCTAATTTCTAGGACATGGAACTATGCTCACATGCATATGTGCACACACCATTGCACACACACAGATAAAAAATTAGATTTTTACATAGAGAAAATGTAATTTATGTATATATATTAGATTACCTTACTAATTATCTCATTGACATTTTCTATATCCTTTCTCTTTTTCTGTAAACTTGTGTTATCGGGAATGAAAGAGGTAATTTAAAGTTTCCTTCTAATAATGTGTTTATTTTTCCTTGTAGTTCCTGATGTTATACTATTTGGAGCATAGAGAGTCATAACCATTATACACTTATTGTGAATTGTAGCCTATAGCATCATAAAGCTTTTCCATTTAACACATTTTGGCTTGATTTCTATTCTGGCTAATACTTATGCCATTTGTTTGTTTATTTGCTTATGTTTACCTGGTATATCTTTGGTCACTATCTTATTTTCCATCTTTCTGAATCACTTGGTTTTAGATTTGTTTCTCATATGCAACATGAAGTTGTATTCTGCTTTGTGATCTAGTCTGACTCTTTTAATAGAAGAGTTAGGACATTTACATTTATTTTTTTAATTGACATAAAATTGTATGTATTTATCATGTACAGCATGATGTTTTGAAGTGTATATTCATTGTATAATGGTTAAATCTAGCTAATTAACAAATTCATTACCTTACATAGTTATCATTTAACATATAGTCCCTCTTATCCTCCAAGAATCCATTCCAAGACTCCTAATGGATACCTGTAACCACAGATAGTATTGAACTCAATTGCTATAAATTGGAACAGATTATGTTCATGTCTTCTACTCCCAAATTTAATGCCTTTTCCATCTTAACTAAACATTTATCATTCACTGTGGCCATAACTTTTTCAGTCTGAGATATGACAGCAAAACTAACACAAGTTTCTTTTTCCTTCTTCATAACTTCACAGATAGAAAAGTCATTCTTATCTTATATCCTGGCAACCTCAGATAAGTTTTTTTTTTATTTTCCTTTCAAAAACTTTCACCTTTTCATTTAAAGAAAGCACTTCATGGTGTCTCTCTGGCATATCCAAATCGCCAGCATCACTACTCTTGCATTGCAGAACAATTATGAGTAAAGTAAGAAGCCCTGATATACCACAACAGTTAATCAGATAAGCCAGACAGCTGCAAGTGACTAACAGGTAGGTAGTGTGTACAGTATGGACAGGCTGGACAAAGTGATGATGCATGTCCCAGGTGAGATTTTATCACACCACTCTGAATGGTGTGCAATTTAAAACCTATTAATTGTTTATTTCCGGAATTTTCCACTTAATATTTCCAGACCATGGTTGACCACAGGTAACTGAAACTGAGAAAAGTGAAACTACAGATAAAAAGGGACTATTGTAATATTAATATATGTTTTCTTTAGTTCCATCATCATATTGTATGTTAGGGTTTCTCATTTTACATTTACATTATTTTAAGTCATTCACTAGATGGTTTGCTTTCTTTCCTCTTTAGGTGTATGTAGTTCTGATATTTAGAAAGGCGTGCATTTTTGTTCTAGTGTGTACTTTTATAATTATAACTTTATGTATCTATTACTTCCTGATCATGATTAATGATATATTTAATACATTGAATACATTTAATACTCCTCCTCCCTCTTCTCCACCTTCCAGTTTTAACCAATAATAAATCCTTCCTTAGTGTTTACTTTGCACTGTTAACTATACTTGTTCTTTTACTGTTTGTTTATCAGGTTGTAGATACTCTTCTACCTACAAAGAGATGTCAAATTGTTCTAATTGGGCAAATATTTTATAAGGATTATCAATTTTTAGAAATCAAAATTAATTTATCCCACCTCAATTTATTTATTATTCAAGGCATGTAGCTGTACATATTATTGGAATAAGTGACAGATAGAGTCCTAATGTTCCCATAAAGTAACACATAAAGGTGACTCTTCACCTGTCACTTACTAACAATTTAGTTGAACAAATTAATAGATTAGTGAATCTTGAAAGGCAAGCAAGTCTTCGTGCTTTTCTGTGAAGTTATTGATATGGATTCTCAGCCTAATTTTTTTTTTTTTTGGTCACCTTTCCCTGTTAGCTTGCAATAGGCCCTGCTGCCCATGACTCTTTGTATTAGTCAGTTCTCCAGAGAGACAGAACCAACAGGGTATAGATAGACAGATACAGGTATATAGAGTGGATTTATTAGACAAAATGGCTCATGCAATTACAGAGGCTGAGAAGTACCACAACAAACTGGAGACCCTGGGATCCTGGTAGCGAGCCTTAGTCCAAGTCCAAAAACCTCAGAACCAGGGAAGCCAATGATATAATTCTCAGTCTGAGGCCAAAGGTCTGAGAATCCAAGAGCCCACTGAGGTAAGTCCTGGAGTCCCAAGGGCAAAGAGTCTGGAGTTCTGATATCCTTGGACAGTAGGAGAGTGTCCCAGCTCCAGGAGAGAGAGAGGAGAGAGAGAGAGAGAGAGAGAGAGAGAGAGAGAGAGAGAGAGAGAGAGAGAGATCTTTCTCTCTTTCTTTTTTTTTTTTTTTTTTTTGTCTATCTGGGCCCCAGCCAATTAGATGGTGCCTGCTTACATTGGTGGCAGATCTCCTCCATTCAGCCCACTGAATCACACACCAATTTCCTGTGCAAAGACACACACACACACACATGCACACACAAAGAAGTTTTCTAGGTATTCCTTAAGTCAGTCAAGTTGACACCTAAAATTAAACATCACAGCCCTATTTGAGTTGCATTTTGTGTACTGTTAGAAACTTTATTCTTGATGTGGTTTCCAATAACACCCTACTAGAGCAAAAGAGGTCATCCCAAATCATAAGAAAATGAGAGCTTCAGTTACCAGAAGACCACATGCTAAAAGTACACAGATAACTATAATGTAAGAGATTTAGCAATATTAATCACTCCCCCTCCCTCCCTCACTATGGGATCTAATTAGTGAGATCAAGTACAAGGAGCCAAAAAGGATCCAGATACCATTCCATCTTTACCCATAGCAATGCTGAAGAAGGACATGTGTCATGGCTCCAACTTCCCTCTCAGAACCTGGACCCAAACTTAAGCCAGTAGCAGATGGGAGTAGAAGCTGAGATAGAAACAGCATATATCTGGCATCTCCTTGCCAAGAGGTTGCTTACTTTAGTACCAACAGGTCAGAGATGAAGATGCTGGGTACATCTCCATTAGTGACCAGCTCTTTCATTCTTATCTTTCTAATTAGTCTATCCTCTTCACATAGAGTGGACCAAGTGAGAAAGCAAAAATAGGGATAGATAGTGCCCACTGCCGAACTGCTCTATCCTGGCAAGTAGAATTCTATCCTTTTGTAGACACTGCTAGTTGTCCACACAATAGCCATCTTTCCCTTCTCCCTTCTCCTTAAAAAACAAAAACAAAACAAAAAAAAACACTCTATTATTTTTAAGGATGATAATATTCTCAAGTTACTCGCTAAGTTTCCCAGGCTCCCTAGCAGGTAGGGGCGGCTAAGAAGGTGTCAGCAGAAGTCACACATTGAATAGGTAAAGCACCCTTTTGCTTCCCCTCACCCCTGTGTCTTCCTGCTGTGCGAAATGTGGACAAAATCTTAAGAGCTCTAGTGGCCATCTGGAAATCATGATGCATCCTTGAGAATGAAGTCACTGCCTAGACAGAAGAGAAAAAAGGCTGGGAGAGACTGAGTGTCTGATGATTCAGCACTGTCGTGTCAGCCTTGGTCTGCCCATCTCTGGATGCCTTTTATGTTGAAGAAAAAATAAGCCCTTATGTGTTTAAGCCACTGCTGTCAGACTTTTGTCACCAGCAGCTGAAGCAATTAGTAAATATGTGTCTCTTTCATGGAAGTGTGAGGGGAGACAGAGTGCTGTGCATCTAGGCTGAGGGTTAGCACTGAGTCAGCCACAGACACCCTCCCGACTGCTCCACAGAACAGAGGAGAGCACCCCCCTTTCCTCCCCAAGATCCACTGAAAGTTCTCTCGGGACTCCCTCCTGCTACTGGGTGTCTATCACTCATCTCTGCCCTCTCCCACCTGTTTAGAAATGTGGGAGAATGTGTAGATATCAAGAACAATTTACTCCTCCTTATGCTCCCAAACCATGCCGCCACTTCATCATTACATAATTCTATTGGGACATCAAAGTTGCCAATGCTTTTATGTTTCTAGTTACAACTGATTACAGATTATTATTGTAGGTAGATCAGTGCCAGAGTTACAGATTTGGAAACCACCATCAAGTATGTGGTTGTTGAAGCCGCTCAAGTCAGAGGGATGCCTCAGGAAGAGCCCAGAAGGGGAACAGACCAAGACTGAAACTAGAGGAATCACAATTTTAATGATGCTCCTAAAAAACTCAAAATGGTCTTGCTGAAAAGTAAAATGTCATGATGTCACAAGATGATAGAATTATGGTCTTGCGGTGGAAGAATTCACTTTAGGACATCTGATACTAACTTTCAAATCATGTCTCTGTTACTGTAAAGTAGCATCCCCTAAAACTGTTTCTATTTATTGACCACTGAGAAACAGAACAATTCCTTAATGCCAACCCAAAATGACAAGCAAAATGACCTATCTTGTTTTGTGAGAGAAGTGAAGGCCTTCTGAATTTATTAAATGTTGTGTTTTCTGTGGGAGCAATATATGCTCTTATCGGCCATTACAAGAACCAAGAGTCCCTCTGAATTCTTGTTATTTCAGTTTCTCAGTTACAAAGGGGCTGCTTTCCAAAACACCCAAGCCAGGGCCTCATTCAGTCACAGTTACACTCTCACTTCTACTCACCAATATCAATGTACAGTGCACATAGGGAAAATTATTCTTGGACTTTAATGCATTCATCATGTAATTTTTCCTTTCCATTCATATGCCCTGACTGATTTCTTGTTCCTACTTATTTATACAAGTGGTAATTAATTTTTTCTTTATCTGTATAAAAGTAGATTCTTCTTGACTTTTTCCCAATATCACAAGATCCCCACGGACCTAAGACACAGACAGTCCTTTGGAGGGTGGGCTTCAGGGAAGCCCTGAGGACGAGCTGGCAGTGGTTCAGTAGGGTATTCATTCAATTCCAATACATGGGTTAATATATTAATATTATACATAAGGTGCCTCACACAGTGCACTAACACACAGTGCAAGCTCAGTAAATGTGAAGTGTCATCAGCATCATAACTGAGGCCCAGTGCAAGTATTAGAGCTTTCCTCCTTCTTCAAAGATCTCTGTGTAGCAGACTGGAGACGATACGGTTGGCCTCAGGCCTCCCCAGCAGTTACTGTCACGGTGCAGGTGCTTCTCTGCGCTGCTCTCAGCCCCACCTCAGGACGTTTCCTGACCACCACCTGGAGCACTCGGGCGACCTCCCTTCTCAGTGTGATGCTGCTGCTTCCACACCAGCGTCAGCACAGAGGCAAATGTGAAGAAAGCTTTAATTTCCTTTTGTGCCTTGTTTCTCACACCAACGCACACTGTGCACCTGTCCAATTTTATGGAAGCGTTGGAAAAATACAAGCAAAGCAAAAGATACAGTACTTTATATGGCTCTCCCTGTACCCAAAGGAAAAACACCAAATATTCTTCATAGAGGGAAATTCTACCTTCTGCTCAGAGAGTGCCCAATCTTATGACCACAGTGTGAGTCCCCACCCTCCCATCTCCCATATGCACCACTCTCGCCCTGCATTCGCCTCCCTCCCTACACTCAGGGTAGATTTTAAGGGTGTATTTCTTGAAATCTGAGCTATTGGATATAGAACAGCAGAATCTTTCACTGAGTAGTACAGAGTGGTCTTTGGCACTCAAAATTCAGATCCCTTCCAGATGCTCTGTGAGTGGGAAGTGTAATATGACTCCTCTTTCTTTCTGATTCTGTAATGGTTAACTGTAACACACATACACACACACACACACACGCACACGCATGGGCACACACACACACATGCACACATTCTCAGAGACAGTAAAATCTAAATCCACTTTACGAATAAAAGAATTTTCCTACAAACCCCATAATTTGTTCATTATCTCCAGGGCAGGACAAAGGCAGCATTTCACATAATCATGCAAATCCCTGGAAGTTCTTCTTTGCTCTTTCAGCCTGAGTCCCTAAAAAATTGGTCTAGTTATAGGATCATCTACCTGCAGTTACCATCCCAAGTTCCAGGAGTTTTGAGTCTTTGAAATACAAGATTTGGGGTTTGATGTTTCCTTACACATCAGGCCATGTAAAGTTCTTAAGTGAAGCCTTCCCTTGTGTACATACACGTATGTGAAAGGGAGGCTTACGATCTTCCTGACCAAACAACTTCTCAGAGAGTTGGAAGATTGTGTTACCTGTGGCACTAAGGTATCTACCTGTGGTCTTTGGTAAGACCACTCATGTAACTAAAAAGGAAATGTTCCTGGACCCTTATACCATCACCTGCCCCTTCTCTCAGGCAGAGATGTTCCAGCTCAGTCAAACCCATTTAGTCTACCAAGGGAACAGAAGGTGTGCAGTCTCATCTTGTTCATCTCTTGTACCTAATATAGAGTCCAGGAAACAACAGGCACATTATAGACACTTAGTTGCATGCAATGAACCAACTTAAGTGGTACAAAATGCTGTAATTCTCAAGGAGACTATAGGCAAGAGATTTCCAAGTTTTAAAAGTGGAGAGAAGACCCTGTTTGAGGGAAAAGGTTAAAAATTCCTCCACCTATGGATAAAAAGGTACTTGAGTATGATGCTTACCACGCATTAACCACCAATGATACAAAGAGACCCATCAGAAGAGCACTCTCTTCAGGGTTTTAACCAGGGCAAGTTTAACATCCTTATTCCTCAAACTGTAGATCAAAGGGTTAAGCATGGGAACCACGCTGGTGTAAAAGACGGAGGCAAATCTACCCTGGTCCATAGAGCCTGGAAAAGAGGTTGTCAAATAGGTGAATGCTCCCGACCCAAAAAACAGGGCAACGGCAATTACATGGGAGCCACACGTGCTAAAGGCTTTGGATCTACCCTCAGCAGAAGGAATACGAAGGATGTTAGAGAGAATCAAAGCATAAGAGACGAAGATGCTGACGCTGGATATTGCGATGACCAGTCCCACAACAATGAAGAACACCAGCTCATTGACACGGGTGCTGGTGCAGGAGAGCTGCAAGAGGGGGAGAACTTCGCACAGGTAGTGGTCGACGGTGTTGGAATCACAGAAGGCCAGTCTCAGCATGCTTCCAGTGTGGGCCATGGCCCCAGCAAACGCTGTCGCGTATGAGCCAGACATCAGCACAGCACAGACCCTAGGGGACATGGTGACCGTGTACAGCAGAGGGTTGCAGATGGCCACATAGCGATCATAGGCCATGGATACCAACACACAGCACTCAGAATTGACAAAGAAACAGAAGAAAAATAGCTGAGTCATGCATCCCCCATAAGAGATGATATTTTCTGACACAAAATCACTCAGCATTTTGGGGGTAAACACACAGGAATAACAGAGATCTATGAAGGACAAGTTGAAGAGGAAAAAGTACATTGGGGTGTGAAGGCTAGAATTCAGCCCAATTAAGGTGATCAAGCCCAAGTTGCCCACCACAGTGAACACATAGAGCCCTAAGAACAGGAAGAAAAGGGGGAGCTGGAGCTCTGATCGCTCTGATAATCCCACAAGGATAAACTCAGTCACTGAGGAGCCGTTTCTCAGAGTCATTCTCTTCTGGTGAGTCACCTGGGAAACAGAACAAAACACAAGAGTCATGACAGGCACAACATGACTACTGGAAGAAATTTCTAGAAGATAAGCCAGTGTGTGAATGTCCGCTCTCCTTTCTTCCCTCATCTATATCCCTGCCCATGCCCCCCACCCCGACCCCCCGCAAGCTATTGACACAGTGTCTGTGACGGTATCGCAGCTGCCCTGGGCTGATCGTGAATTCGAGCTAGAGTCCATTAGCACAGGCAGCAAGAATTCTGCCCCTGCTTAAGAGATGAGGAAATGGCATACTGGAATTGGCTGCCCAAGGACCTCCAGAAGAGACACCCAGGAGCCAGGAGTACAACCTGGACCTGCTGCTTGGGCTCTGAGAGACAAAAGCTCCCATTGCCTCATTGTGTCCTCCCACTCTCTGCTTCCCCTCCTAGCTAAATCCCAGGGTCCCCCCTGGAGAGAAGGCTGAGGGTGTCCACTACCCTCACCATCTCTGCACATCCCACCCCTCTCCTCTCCGCCCCTTCATTCCAACTCACCCCAGGATCAGCGTTGAGAGCAGAGAAGGGATGGATACTCCCAGATCCCGTGGTTGTGGGTGTGAAAGAAAACCATCAGGAAAGACGGGCCTCAGACCTTCTCCCTGGGCCCCCTCAGTGCGGGGCCTCGCGCAGCCTCTTTTTCCATTAGCCAGAAAGAGAAAATGTAGCTGCTAGCAGGGAAAGCAGACAGCCTTGTGTGTTTAACTCTTCTGATTCCTTTGGTGCTGGGAGTCAGAGCTTTCACAGACCCCAGGCTCCAAGGTGCTTGAGGAATAGACCGTGACTTCTGTTTGTGGATTTTCCCAGATCGTCTCAAGCAACTTCAGGGGGAAAAACTAGCAACTCCCATTTTGACCAGACCCCTGCCGGCATATCCCAGAGAACTTTAAGCTGCTTGACGATCTCAGGGACCTGATTAGACACAGTGTACCCTGGGAATTTCTCCGAGATCTGTCTCTGTAGGGAAAAAATTGCACTGCCTGTTTACACCCTGGATTGTGGTGTTTGCCCGGCATCTTGACAGCAGGTGTTCTACTCAAACTCCCCTTACTCTGGGGTTTCACATCATGCAGTGAGTTTGGGGGCTTGTTTTTCCTCTCTCATTAACTTTTAGAGCCTTAGTTGACTTTAAGGAAGAATAGCCCCCAATTTAGCCTCTACTTCCAAAATCTCACGGAAAACTTTGAAAGTAGGACCAAGGGGGAAAAAAGTTCAGGTCAGATCTACAGAAAGCACCTCAGTAAAATGTTTCTGGGACCATGAGCTGCTTGGAACAGTGAAGAAGCCACACCACCTCCACCACAACACCACCTACTCTCAGCTCTAATAAGGGCTACAGACAGGCCTTTACTATATATGAGGAGACTAAAATATCACAACACATATGCAAGGAAACACACACGCACACCCCTGCATGGAGTTACTCTATAGGCGTGCAGGATTAAGGTATAACGGGAAATGTATCTGAGGGTTTAATCCTGCCATTCTTCGGATGACAAAGCTGCTCTCCATATGATCTGCTACATGAATATTTTAAGAAACATTCAAAGATGTGTGAGCATCTGCATTTGTAAGTTTCCACTGAGGCTGCCTAAAGTAATCCCAGTTTTCCTGGGATGGTCCTAATTTACACTCATTATCCCTATATAATCATTGTATTAATAGCACACCCTTCACCAGAGTGAAGTGTGTCTGGACTTGGATAACAAATTATATGGTCACACTACTAAAAAGAGCAAAAGCAGCTCTTGAGGTCCTCTGGCCCCCGCAGTCTCCTAATCCCACTGACTTCTATCTCCTGTCTGACAGTCTCTGTCTTTCACCCTCCTTGCTCTCAAGGTCTTTCTTACCTGAACCTACGCTTCTAGACAACCAATATTATCTCATCAGTGGACCCTGGCTTAAAAACTGGGAAGGGCAGTAACTGCAAGCTGCTTCTGATTTATACTAGCTGAAAATCCTAAAGCAAGAAAACACAAACTTGAGCTACCTGCCTATAATGGGTGAAAAGGAAAAATAAGAAGATAGGAATTGTATTGGTATAAGGAGTAAACATTAGTATATTGTTGTATATTGCTATATATGCGTATAATTAGTTGGTTGGCAGTATTTAACAAACTTGGACATATACATAATACTTTGACCCATTCTACCACCAGGTGCATACCCAATAATAATAAGTAAATGCGTTTATCTCTTTAGGTAAACATGCCAAGAATGTTCATAGCATACATAGTAGCCCCAAACTGAAAACACACATGTCAACCAAATGTAGAATGAATAACAAATGGTAGGATATTAATAAAATAAAATTCTATATATCCATGAAAAATAATGACACAGATGTCACATGCATATTAATGGAGCAAAAGGAAGCAAACACAAAAGAGTGCATATAGTTTATGATTTCTTTTATATAAAGTTTAAAAACAAGAAAACTAATCTATGGTGTTAGAAGTCAGATGGCAGTTTCTCTTAGCCGAGAAGAAAAGGGCTGATGCCTGGAAAGAAATCTGAAGGGCATTTCAGGGCTGACAATGTCTGGTTCCAACAGGGGTGCTGGTTATACAGATGTGTTCATTTTGCAAAAATTCACTGAACTATATCCTTATGTTACACTTAAATAAAAAGTTTATTTAAAACATAAGTGGAGAAAATATATATATATCATCCTACTAAATTAGTTTAAGACTAAAATTGCTAAACAGCGTTGAGCCATAATTCCCTCATTTGTAAAGTGGGTATTTACTGACCTGACAGCTCAATATAGTAGAACATGCAAGAAAAATACCATTTTTACTTCTTTTCCATCTTGTGTCCCTTAAAATAAAAACCTGTTATATTTTTCTTATATAAAGAGAGGAAATCAAGAAGAAAGAATTAATGCATATGGAGCAGCGACAGAGTGCCTGGCATTATGCTGGATGTTTCCTACTGTAATGTGATGTTTCTAACAACTATACGATGTATATGTGTGTGGCAGATTGTATTTTCCAAAGATGGCCATCCCAACACATACACATACACACATGCTCACACATATATATATCTTGCATTCCACATGCTCTTGGTGTAATAGGACTGACACTCCTCCAATCAAGAGATGGGGTCGATATGCTCTCTTAGGCAGGGACTTGGGACTTCTTCAATACAGTATGGTGGAATTGATGCTATGTGACTTCCAAGGTTAGGTCATAAAACGATACAGCTTTCTCCTGGCACCCATTCTCCTCTCTCTCTCTCTCTCTCTCTCTCTCTTTCTCTCTCTCTCCGTCTCTCTCTCTCTGTCTCTCTCTCCTCCTGCCCCTCCCCTCATTTATTTCTCTTTTGTCATCCCCTAGCCTTCAGGACAGTCATGTTAAAACTCTCTGGCTTTGTCTCAAGATACAGTCACTTAACATTATCTATAGGTTCTTGGAAAGTGCCACTTTAAGTGCAATGATACCCAATACACTGTAATAACTTAACTCTTCTTTATATCAATTAGGCTACGGTAAAATTGGTCTCATTATACAGTACATCATTTTGCTTAAAGTGACAGTTTCCAAGAACCTATACATGGCGTTAAGTGAGGACTTACTGTGCCCTACAAGGCAGCAAGTTTTTGGTCATTTGTCCAGTGTTGATGGGAACAGAAGCCCTTTAGGGCCTGCATACTAGTGGGTGGACATCGGAAAAATACCGCAGGGAAGTGGCCAGAAGAATCTGCAGTGCAGGCCCGGTTTACTCAATCCAATTCCCTCTTGCTACCCAGGAAGTCTCTTTCCAGTTCCATATCTGGACAATATTTTTTGAGATTTGCTTTTATGAAGAAAACAGGCATTTCTTTTTAGCAGATACAATTTTTTACCACCTGCATTTTCCCTTCCTGAATGACATTTTGGCAGATGTGTAGCAGTGATCCAGCAACGGAAGAGAGAGAAAGAATTTTCTGTTCATTAGGGTAGAAGTCAGTGTATTCATCATCCAATAAATATTTACTAAGGCCAGTTGTTTCTAGCAATATGGCAAACTTCTTATTCAGAAAGATTTCTCCTGAGAAAACAAAACAAAGAATTCTGGATGAAATATAAAAAGCATCTATTTATTCATGTTTGAGCTGGCAGAAACTAAGTGAAAATCTGTGAGCGCAAAAGAGAAAATATAAGAAAGTCAGGATTTGCAGGGACACATGAGCACTGGACCTGGAGTTTACCTCCGAGGACTCGTGGATTCCTGGGGGCCCAGAGTTGGGGTTGGATTAGTTACCTATGCAGGACATGAGAGATCAAACCTGGAACCTTAAGCAGGTTGGGATTTTGGAACCATGATTGACTCATATTACTGACTCCCCCCAAGGGAAACATTATCAGTGGTTAAACAAGAGGAAGAAAAAAAGCCTACAGAGGGAGCAGGCCAAGAAATGTATCAGACTTGGCCTTGGCCCTAGACAGGCAGAAAAAGATACAAAATGTTTCCTGAGAATTTCTAACCACCTGTGTGTGTCAGACAAAAAATTCACATTACATATATAACAACAAAAAGTCCTGTCTAGAGAGTACAATTTAATCCAGATATCAAAGAATTTCTCCAGATAAATATCCAAGAATCATGCGCTCATGATGAAAATCACTAAACAAATACAAAATAAGCCACCATGAATGCGAACCACTATGAACGGTAAAACACAAACTACATACCTAACCAGACCTACAGAAACACTAGGCTTGTCAGGGACAAAATGCAAAATAAATGTACTTAATATGTTTAAAGAAATAAAAGAGCAAGTGAAAAGTATAATGAAGGGAGCATCAAACATGAAGAAAGGTGCCATCAAAATTTTAAAGAATCAAATAGAACTTTTAGTAGAAATAAAAATATGATAATTGAAATTAGGATCTCTCTGAATCTGTTAGCCTATTAGACACAAATGAAGAGAAAGTAAATAAACTGGAAGATAGAGCTGGAGAAATTGTCCAGAAGCCAGCATCAGTGTGAGAGAGACTATGAATTAGAAATATAATTTTAAAAATATAGAAAATGTAGAAAAAAGAAGTTCCAACAGATACAAGCATTTAACACTTTTAGGCCCTGGGTTTTGCTCTAAAAATAGGGCTCTAAAAATAATCAAAACAGACACAGCCTCTGAACTTTCAAACATGCAATCTAGATGGAGAGAGCTAAAATAAACAGATACTGAGACACAACTAGAAATGCAGTCAGTCTGCCAAGGTAATGGGAGCTATGAAACCACTTAACAGGCGGCCCTACTAAGTCTTGAAGGTCTGAGAAGGCCTCCTTATGGAAATGAAACTCAGTTTTAAAACTAAAAAGGAAGCATAGATAAAAATCATTGTTTGTGATGGTGTTTGAGGAATCTGCCCCTGTGTGAGCCTTGGCTGGAGCCAGGACTCAGCCTCCTTGTGTGAGAGCTCCCCAGAAAACATTAGCTGGCCAGATGTTCCCATGCAGGACTCTTGGGTTTGTGGCAAGCGACACAAAGAAACCGGAACCATCGATGTTGCGTTTTGGCAAAGACAAAGAAAAACAAAAACATCTGCCAATCAATAATAAATGTCAGGTGCTGGAGGTGCCAGCAGGCTAACCAGACAGTTGTGGGGTGTAACTTGGCTGCAATCCTGCCTGCCTGGCTCCAAAAGCTGGTTCCCCAGCCTGCTGTAAGATTCTGCAAACTACCCCATTTCTTGCCAATTAGCTCCCTTTTTGCTAAAGTTAACAGAATCAACATCTGCTGTTTGCAGCTCAGATCCCTGGCTGGTACAATATGGACCAGAGATTAAGGGGGCCATGAGTAGGGAGTGGAGACAGGGAAAACATCCTAGCTGGGGGGCAACTTTCTCATCTCCCTGTGATGAAGGCAGACACACTCCCCATGATCATCTTCAAACACAGGTGTAACAACACCCCCCCAAAAAAATTTTACTCTATTTTGAATGATCCTCCCCTCCAGGAACATGTTGTTTGCATGTGGTTTGGGGAATAAAATGAACAAGCACCACAGATTCCAGAAATTGCTATTCTTCATACACTTGTAACAAAATTTTCAAAACCTTTAATTCATCAATGATTCCTTTTTCCTTAATAAGCTAAATTATGATACTTAGTGAAATGAATATAAGTTTTGCTGGCTAAATAGAAATGCAGTCAATGAATTATCTGGACAGCTTTTTGAAATGTGGGTCATATAAAAATAAAATAAAACAAAAGGGATTGTGCTTAATATCTAAGGAAGATAGTGGCTCAATAATTATTTTTATAAAAGATTAAATAGTATATGTTAAATTAGTCAATGTTATTTAGTATTCTGTTTCTTCATGTGCTCTTTATTGGCTCTGAGATCCTGTGTATTTATTTATTATTTCAAAATATTATTGGGGTACAAACATTTTGGTTACGTAAATTGCTCCTATATAGTTTGAGTCAAGGTGTGCCCATCCCTTAGATAGTGTACATTCTACCCATTAGGTGTGCATTTACCCATCTCTTCCTGCCCTCTCCCACCTGCTTGATTTCCAATGAATGTTATTTCCATATGTGCACAGAAGTGTTGATCAGTTAGTGCCAATTTAATAGTGAATACAAGTGGTGTTTGGTTTTCCATTCTTGTGATACTTCACTTAGAAGAATGGTCTCTGGTTCACCATTTTTTATGGCTGAGTAGTATTCCATGGTATACATACACATTTTATTAATACACTCATGTATTGATGGGCACTTGGGTTGTTTCCACACCTTTGCAATTGTGAATTGTGCTGCTATAAATATTTGAGTGCATATGTGTTTTTTATAGAATATCTTTTGTTCCTTTGGGTAAATACACAGTAGTGGGATTGCTGGATCAAATGGCAGTTCTACTTGTAGCTCTTTGAGGAATCTCCATATTACTTTCCGCAGAGGTTATATTATTTTGCAGTCCCACCAGCAGTGTAAGAGTGTTCCTATCTCTCCACATCCACATGCCAATATTTGTTTTCTTGGGACTTTTTGATAAAAGCCTTTCTCACTGGAGTGAGATTGTGAGTGAGATTGTGGTTTTGATATGCATTTCCCTGGTGATTAGAGATGCATTTTTTCATATGGTGTTTGTTGGCCATTAATCTGTGTTCTTTTGAAAAGTTTCTGTTCATATCCTTTGCACACTTTTTAATGGAGTTGTTTGATTATTTTCTTGTTGATTTTCTTGAGTTCTTTATTGATTCTAGTTATCAGCCCTTTATTGAATGTGTAGAAAGCAAATTTTTTCTCCCATTCTGTAGGTTGTCTATTCACTCTAACAGTAGTTTCCTTGGTTGTGCAGAAGCTTTTTCATTTAATTAGATCCCATTTATTTATTTTTGTTATTGCTATGATTGCTTTGGGGGTCTTCTTCATAAATTATTTGCCTAAGCTGATGTCTTATATAGGAAGAGTTTTTCCAACCTTTTCTTCTAGAGTTTTTATGGTTTCATGCCTTAGGTTTAAGTCTGTTATCCATCACGAGTTGATTTTTGTAAGAGGTAAGAGGTAGGGATCCAGTTTCAATCTTCTGCATGTGGATATCCAGTTTTCCCAGCACCACTTATTGAATATGGATTCTTTTCCCCAGTGTATGTTTTTGTCTGCTTTGTGAAAGATCAGATGGCAATAT